CAGACAGCACTCCATCAGGCAGTATAATTGTTGTTAAGTGCCATCAAGTTGGTTCTGACTCATAGTGACCCAGTATAGGGTTTCCAAGGAGCTACTGATGAGTTTGAACCACTGACCCGTGGCCCAAACCAAACTTGCAGTCCTGTGCTTATCCTACAGTGCCACACCAGAGGTCCACAGGCAGTATAATAGCATATGCAAAATATATGCTTAGTTCTAAGCCCTGGTGAAGGAGCCCTGGTTGGTTGGGCTGCTAACCACAAGGTTTAATCCATTAACTGTTCCATGAGAGAAAGATGAGATTTTCTGCTCCTGTAAAGATTTTCAGCCTTAGAAAGTCTTTAGTCCCTATACAGGGTCACTATGAGCTGGAACCGACTTAACAGCACACAATCACCACCACCCAGCCCCTGGTGGTACAGTGGTTAAGTGCTTGGCTGTTAACCAAAAGGTCAGTGGTTTGAAACCAGCAGCTGCTCTGTGAAAGATGTGGCAGTCTGCTTCTATAAAGATTTATAGCGTTGGAAACCTATGTGGCAGATTTACTGTCTGACAGAGTTAAAAGGAGCTCTGAAACTACAAGGTCAGCAGTTCGAATCTACTAGCAGCTCCATAGGAAAAAGATGAGGCTTTCTGCTCTGGTAAAGATTTATAGTCTTGGAAACTCTATACAGGGTCACTATGAGTTGGAACTGACTAGATGGAACATGACCACCAACAACCATAGGCTTGCTGGAATCCTGGTGTTGTGCTGTAGGATAGGCACTGGATTGTTGTTGTTGTTGTTAAGTGCCGTTGAGTCGGTTTCGACCCATAGCGACCCTGAATAGGGTTTCCGAGGCTGTAAATCTTTACGGGAGCAGATCGCCTCATCTTTCTCCCGCGGAGCAGCTGGTAGTTTCGAACTGCTGACCTTCTGGTTCGCAGCCCGATTCGTAACCACTACGCTACCAGAGCACTGGATTACTAATCACAAATTCAGTAGTTCAAGCCCACCAGTCACTCCTTAAAAACCCTATACAGGGTCTATATGAGTCAGACCCAACTTGACAGCACTTAACAACAATACAGGGTCACTATGAGTCGGAACTGACTGGATGGTAACAGGTTTGGAATTGTTTAATCACCTGTGAGGTAGGTACTAGAGGAAACTAGCAAAAGATAGAATCAAGATTCAATCTGAGACAGGTTGGTTTGAGAGTCTATACATTAAACCTATGCTTGTTGTTGTTGTTAGGTGTCATTGAGTTAGGACTGACTTGTAGAAACCTTACGCACAACAGAATGAAACACTGCTGGGTCCTGCACCAACCTCACACTTACTGGTACGTTTGAGCCCATAGCTGCTGCTGCCACTGTGCCAATCCATCTCCTTGGAGGTCTTCCTCTTTTACTCTGACCTTCCACTTTACCAAACATGTAGTGTCATTCATTTTCTGGTCATGATAGAGACCCACCAAGATGTAGGCTACAGATGTGTTTGTGAATTCTAAAGCAATGTTTTATTTTCCAAAACGGGATCTTGAAATTTCTTAAGCATTTGTACAAGTGTGTGGATGAAACTTCAGAGTTGTTACTTATTAGTAGATGAGAGTGGCTTCTGAATCAGGATTTTTCCCCAAACATGTCTGTTGGGTGGCAGTATATCTGCCAACGTTCAGGATTATGACCTCTGGACTTGCAGTGCAGAGGTTTAAACCTCAGACTCCCCAATTGCTAGCTGCAAAATTGAGCAGGCTACTTGATTCTTCCAAGCTTCACTTTTTTCATTTGTAAAATGAGGAAAGTATTGAGCTTTTTGTGAGGATTAAGTGAGCTAATGCACTTTGCACATTCGCTAGCATATGTAACGACTTAGTAAAGGTTAGTCATTTCTACTATGTTGTTGTTGTTGTTAGGTGCCATCGAGTCAGTACCGACTCATAGTGACCTTATGCACAGCAGAATGAAACACTGTCCGATCCTGGGTCAACCTCACTATCATTGCCATGCTTGAGCCCATTGATGCTGTCACTTTGTCAATCTATCTCGTTGGGGATCTTCCTCTTTTTCTCTGACTCTCCACCTTACCAAACATGATATCCTTCTCCAGTGACTGGTCCCTCCTGACAATATATCCAAAGTATGAGAGACGAAGTTTGGCCATCTTGGCCTCCAAGGAGCACTCTGGCTGCACGTCTTCTAACACAGATCTGTTAGTTCTTTTGGCAACACATGGCACTTTCAATATTCTCCTCTAACACCATAACTAAAAAGCATCAATTCTTCTATGGTCTTCCTTATTCACTATACAGCTTTCACATGCATATGAGGTTATTGAAAATACTATGGCCTGGGTCATATGCGCCTTAGTCTTCAAGATGACATCTCTGCTCTTTAACACTTTAAAAAGGTCTTGTGCAGCAGATATGCCTAATGCAATATGTTGTTTGATTTCTTGACTGCTGCTTCCATGAGTGCTGATAGTTGATCCAAGAAGAATGAAGTCCTCTGAATCCGGCTTGAACCTCTGGAAGTTCTCTATCAATGTATGCTTGTAGCCATTTCTGTATTACTTTTAGTAAAACTTTACTCGCATGGGATATCAAAGATATCGTCCGATGATGTCTACTATGGATACGGGAAAAGGGTATCTCTAAAACTTGGATGCTTCAGAGATCATTCAATCCAGAGATTCATGTACCCAAATTACTTTGGCAGAAAGCTGGATGAGAAAAGGATTGGAAACTTTGGTCATGGGAAAATGCATTTAAAAATATTTGCTGTTGTTAAGTGTGGTCAAGTTAGTTCCAACTCAAAGTGATCCTATTCAATATTCATTCAGGAAAAGTAACTGATGGATTTGAACTTTGGCCTTGTGGTTCAAATCATCCTTATGGGCCAGTGCTTATCCTACGAAGCCACACCAGGTCTCTTTTACACAGAGCAAACCTGGGGTAAATGGTGCAATGTTTGTTTTCCATCCTGTAATATTTCAAGATATGAGAATGTGCTTAAAGCATCGTTAAAAAAAAAAAAGTTATTGTTGAGAAATACACTGCAAAACATATACAAACTCAATAGTGTCAACATGTACAACTGAGTGACATTGAATTGTGCTATCACTCTCAGCCTCCTTTTCTGACTTGTTCCTCTCCCTTGAACATAAACTCACTAATCTCTTGAGTTGCTGCTATCCCTTAGATCCCACATAGATCTTTAAAAAGCTTAATGCTCAAGGCAGACATTCTTTGCTAGTCAAGTTAAACTATATTTTAGCCTGGTTTTAAGAAGACTTCAGGGAATATTTTTGGTTTAAGGCTTCAAGATGGTCTCAGGGCAATAGTTTTAGGGGTTCATCCAGCTTCCATGGCTCCAAAAAGCCTGGAATCTATAAAAATGAGAAATTCTGTTCTGCATTTTCTGTTTGATTGGGATTCTTTAATTAGAATGTTCAGCAATGATAGTCAGCATGATTATAGTGTGTTAAAATGTACTTATTTTACACTTTAACTTAAACTCCTGCTTAAGCATCATTTTTCAGAGAAGCTGAGCTGGGTGTCCCCAGGACTAACCTGAGATTTGATAACCCACCAGCTGGATTACAGGATGCAGCATATAGTTATCCCAGAGCTGTAGTTTATTACAGAGAAAGGATACAAAGCAGAATCAGGGAAGCAAAAGGAGGCCTGGGTCAAAGTCCAGAGGAAACAAGGTGCAAACTCCCAAGAGCCTTTTCCAGAGGAGTAACCTAGTAGGATGTGCTTCATTCCTCTAGCAATAAGTTGTGAGAACATGTGTGAAATGTTATCTCACTGAAGCTCTTCCCACATGGTTGTCCAGGATTTATATTGGGGCTCAGCCATGTTGCACACTGTGTCTGTGTGACTGACATCAGTTGCTGAGGTTTTAGATCCCTAGAGGAAAATCACCTTGTTAGTATACATTGTTTGGAAAACCTACGTAGGGTGACTCAAGACCTCAGGAAAAACAAAAACAAAAAGCAACTGAAAACTTCTTAGACAAGAACAGCTTAGATCCCAGTTCTTAGTCCGTTTCATAACTAGGTGGCCAAGGGCCAGTCATGAAAATAGGCCTGAGAATGAGCAGAATTTGAACACCCAAAGCCTGCTGAGTTAGCCCTTTTCTTCACTTACCAAACCTAGTAGGGACCTAGTTTCTTAATGGTGTGTTTCTTAATGGCTTATCACTAGCATATATTTGGCTACATATTAATGAATTTGATATGAAGAAATAGATTTTTCTTATTTATTACTAGTTATAATTATTTCTGCATTAGCACATAAAATCCATGTGGTTGGAGACTTTGCTTTGGAATATTATATCGACAGCCAAATGCATGCTGGGAGTTACAAAATCTATAGAAAGCTTCTAGTTCAGACTTGGCGCTCTCTCTCTCTCTATATATATACACACATATATGTTGCTGTTGTTGTTAAGTGCCATCGAGTAAGTTCTGACTCATAGCTTGTATAAAACTGCACTTAGCTTATAGTAGGTGCTCAGCAAATATTTATTGAACAAGTGAATGAATGAAAATGATCATTTACACAATTCTTAGGAATGCCAATAATGCTACTGGATATAAATTATTGGCATGTTAGTTGCTATTCTTTGAGTGATGATTTCCTCAGTTGCTTTTATTTTTTTTTCCTTTGTCTCCTGGATAAGTCTATAGTTCTGTAGTTAGATCTTCCCTCAAAGATTTGTTTTGCCTTAAATGTCAGTTTGAATGTCCCAGAGGGAGAGGACCTCTGTCTGTTGTCCTAGTCTTCAGCCAGTATTATGAAATAGGCTGATAGAAAGGTTTACTATGAAATGACGTTAGACTAAGACTTTGAACTTTAGTGGTGTTACTTTATTCACTGACAGTTTTATATAATGTTTGGTGCCCAATAGGTTTCTTACTATTCTGCTGAGCTGGGTAAGGTCATAGAACACTGTTTGTGCAAGAATCACAGATACTGGGCGGAAATAAGCACTGTTTACCTATGCTTCTTGTATTTTGAACCAGATATATACAACTTTCTAATGGTTGTGGAATTGCTAAGTATTTGAGGTTGACATTAACCTGCCCCACCTTTTAGATAACTTCTGCTTACCGCAGGCATATCATTATACAGCCTTCCATAGTTTAACTTTAGTAGAATAAAAACATATTTCCATCTCCTCTGTCATTTGATGGCTTGATCACAAAATCTTAAGCTTTTTAATGCATTCCTACAAATGATAGAAAGAGGGACAGTATAAAAAAAATGACATAGAACCTCAGCTTCCAAGACCTATCACAAATGCTTATAGCATGTTAACCCTTTTGCTGACCTTCACTGAAGAAAACAAGTGAGGATTAAGTAACCTGGAGTCCTGTTGTGTTGTGGGTTAATGCACTGAACTGCAAGGTAGGTTTGAACTGCAAGGTTAGTGGTTTAAGCTCACCAGCCACTCCTGGGAAACCCTAAACAAGGTTGCTATGAGTTGGAACTGACTTGTTGGCACTTAACAGCAAAAACAACAACCCAAGTTCTTTGTGGCGCTGTAGGATTAGCACTGTACTGCAAGGTCAGTTTGAACCAAAGCGACAGCAGTTCAAACCTACCAGTTGCTACTCAGAAGCCCTATACAGGGTCGCTTTGAGTTGGAACGGACTTGACAGCACTTAACAAGTTCCTTTGGGGACCTCTTTCAGGTCTGGTGGTGGTGGTTGTATGCTGTAGGTTGGTTCTGACTCATAGTGACTCTATATGGGGTTTCTGAGGCTGTAAATCTTTATAGGGGAGCTGAAAGCCTCATCTCTCTCCTGCAGAATAGCTGTAGTTTCAAACTGGTGACCTTGAGGTTAGCAACCCAACATGTAACCACTATGCTACTAGATCTCCGTTTAGATCTGGTGCTTTCATGAAAATCTCCATTATGAGGACTGAGAAGAGAGAGGAAAGAGGCATTGAATTTCTCCAAATTAACTGTGGCCAATTCAGTTGTAAAAAGTATCACCCCTTCTATGACTGTGTCTTTCAATATTTGGTAGTGGATTCTCTGATCAAGGTTGTATGGTGAATAAGACACTGAAGGTGATTGTGATTTTTTCCTTTTCAAAGACCCATTCTGTCCTTTGAATTAGCTTCAGTTTTGTTTAATGTACATTTAAAAATTCCTTAATATTTAAGCAGTTCAGCCTTTTTACTTTTATTTTGAGAACTATGGAATCATCTAGATGAGGAATATGTTCCCTCTAGGGAATCTAAATGAACCCTGAGCCCCGAAAAAGAATTCTATGCTTGATGCTATTTTGGGAGAAACATGGGCTGAAGGTTGTTCAGGTCCCTATTTCAGGTTGATGGGAAATTATAATGATGCAGATTTTGTGTGATGATGGTTCCTGGGGTTGCAAAAGCTCCCCTTCTCCTTCTATCTTCAACTCAGTAAGCCTGATTCAATTTTGGTTGGAATATTATATCGACAGCCAAATGCATGCTGGGAGTTACAAAATCTATAGAAAGCTTCTAGTTCAGACTTGGCGCTCTCTCTCTCTCTATATATATACACACATATATGTTGTTGTTGTTGTTAAGTGCCATCGAGTAAGTTCTGACTCATAGCGACCCTGCATAGGGTTTCTGAGGAGCAGCTGTTGAGCTTGAACCTCCAACCTTGCAGTTCAAATGGCTTTGCAGTCTGGTGCATTAACCCACAGCGCCATATCAGGACATCAGGACCATATACATATATATAAATTTAAGGAGTTCTGGTAGTGTAGTGGTTATGAATTGGCTGTGAACTACAAGATCAGCAGTTCGAAACTACCAGCTGTACTGTGGGAGAAAGATGAGGCTTTCTGCTCCCGTAAAGATTTACAGCCTTGGAAACCCTGTACAGGGTCACTATGAGTTGGTTCTGACTCCATGGCACATAACCACCACCACCATATATAAATTTAGACTTGCAGGTTTAGAGAGAAGATGGCTTTTATCTCTCAGAACCTGTTTTTGCTCCAGTACCAGGAACCAGTGAAGAAGAAGAAGTTATTATTTCTTTTTATATTTATAATTATATTTATTATTACATGTAAAAAAATTAGAGAAACATCTGAAAACATAGTTATTTTCAGAACATGTTAAAGCTGTCTTTTTTTTTTTAATGTTTTATTGTGAATTATGTGATAGTTTACATGGGCGAACATTAGCTTCACATTCATCCTATTGTATATCATTTCATTGTCATGGTTACAATCCCCTCCATGCACATCATCAACCAACCAAAGGGTATATCCTTCAAGCCGCTCCCCCTGCCCGCTTGGTCATCAGCACACAGCCCCTCTCACTCTCTGGGTCTAAAGTCCACAGTCTCTCCATCTCTCCACATCACTATCTCTCTGGATAGGGTCCCGCATTCCGCTCTTCTCCCTTGATGGTCCCAGGAACCTTCACTCCTAAACTGAAAAGTCAATCACTCCCCTCCTTTTGCTACAAAACTTCTATCTTTACATTTCCAACCCTCACAATCAGTCCTGATAACAATCATTCACTATTGTATCACCTGTCCGCATCTTTCATCAGCCCCTCCTAGACAGATTGGATACTACTCAGTGGAGATTCTACCTTCCTCTACAGCCTCTGGATCTAGGCTCCCTCTTGAAAGCTTGTAAGCCAGTCACTTCTTGCCTTTGTAGCACCCCCATTTTGGGTGAAGTTATTATTTCTTGGTGATCACTCCTAACCAGGGTGACATAAAGTAGCATAAGCCATTTGGGAGCTGTCAGTGCTTGAGTGCTAACAGAAAGGTTGGCACAGTTTGAATCCACCCAGTGGCTCCATGGGAGAAACACCTGGCTATATCCTCTCTCAAAGATTACAGCCAAGAAAATCCCCTGGGGCACTTCTACTTTATCACCTGGGGTTGAAATGAGTTGGAATAGATGCATTGTTCTTACCATCATCTGTGCTGTCAATTTTAATTAACCAATCCAAAAGTTCAAAGTCATAAGCCCTGGTCTGTTGTTTCCATAATGTTGATATCTGATTTATTGTCTAGGTCAACCTTGTGACAAATTGGTTCATTTTGAGTGCCAACTTTGATCAATGATTAGTGGCTACTGAGGAGTAGGATCCTGAAGCCTGTGCTGAATTAATGAATTAATGGGCCTGGCAGGATTCGGTCCTCATGCCAGGCAGTTGACATTCCTGTAATTGGACCAGGACAAATCTCAGACTGCCTTGAAATGCTGCCTTTAGAACAGGTCCAAATTACACAAAATGGAAGCATTTCTAATTCAAAAGAAAGAGTTTCTATGTCTCTTTTTTTGTTATTGGGTGCCATTAAGTCAGTACCAACTCATAGTGACCCTGTTCTCTACAAAATATGGCCCTGTCCTTCGCCAACCTCACAATTGTTGCTATGTTTGAACCCATTCCTGCTGTCACTGTGCCAATCCATCTCATTGGGGGTCTTCTCTATGTCTCTTAGAAGACTGGAAAGGGGCAAGATCCTTATGGTCAAATTTGACTGATATGAAAAATTCCCTCTCATTGCTCTAGGTATGAACTTTCTCAGCCACGATTGATTTTTTAGTACAGTTTGGCAATTCATCAAACATTAATGAGTGGATAGGATAGGCAAGACATCATACTAGGTGCTGGGGTTATTATGAATAATGTATGGCCTCTGTCCTTAAAAGTTTTACAGTGGAGAAAATAGACAAACTGTTAATGAAATCAAAGGGAATTTTCAGTATGTATTTTCTTATAAAAAAATGAAAGCACTTTTCTCCTAATCTTGAATGCCAAGAACTTTGAAGATCTGCATTGAGCAGAGATGCCTGTGCAAATGCCTTGTGGATTCCAAGGGGGTACCTTCACACGCATCTAATGGTACAACCACAAGATCTGGGAACTAGGTGTGAAATGAATGTTTTCTGTATAGAAGAGAAAGCAAAGAAAGCACCCTACCTTTCAAGCCGTAGACACTTGAGTGAGTGAAATTTCTCTTAACAACAATTCATGACATACTTATGGTATGATATGTTCTTACTGCTCTTCTTTGAAAACATTAAACAAATACTGATACAACATTTTGAAGAGGGTTTTAATTGGACATGTACTGGCTGTATCTTCCTCTAAGTAATAAAGTGAATAAATGAAAGAAAAGCTAAAACCAAATCATTACCACCATCAGATATGTGAGCGACACAGGTCTTCAAACTTGGGAGAAGAAATGCAAATGATCACAGGTAGAAGATTTTGAATATAGATCTGAAAAGCACCTCATTTATTTCCATCACAGTCTGCCCCTAACCATAGGTCGTAAGGTACTCATTCAGGGCAGGATTCCCCATTAACATGCTTTGATGAACCTTCTAAACTGGTTAGCAGATAGCACTCCTAAGAACTATACACTACTGCCCCTTCCCTGCCTCCAGCTTGGCTTTGAGAAGTGGTTGTTTGGAAGGACATCACTAAAATTCAGTATTTCTTCTCATTTCCAGGTCACTGGACTATTAACTGCCAGGTTGGCCATTTGAACCTACCAGCTGCTCCTCAGAAACCCTACATAGTGTCGCTGTGAGTTGAAACTGATTTGGCGGCACTTAACAACACCGCTAGTAACATAGTTCTCCAGGGATTAAGGAAAAGATGATAATACTTCATTTAGTTGGAAAACAGGTGGCATTAAAATATCCTCATTGTTGTCCAGTTAATTCCAGCTCATAGTGTCTTGAAAGGACAGAGGAGAGCTGCCCCGTAGGCATTCCAAGACTGCAAGTCTTCCTGGAGGCCAACTGCTATGTCACTTTCCCTCAGAGTGGCTGGTGGGTTTGAATAGTCGACTTTTTTGGCTAGCACCTGAGAACTGCACCACCAGTATGCTTCTAACAGGTGGTACTAGAGATCATATAATCCATGTACTAGAGATCGAATAAACCATGGGTTTATTTTTATTTTTATCTTTTACCAATAAGCCTAATCAACCTACACCTCTAGGTCTGTCATGTAAACTTCACTATTGTCAACATCCTTTTCCTTTAGTTACACATCCCTCCTCTGGATGAACTCTAATTCTGGACCAATAAAACTGCCCACTCGTGTTCTGCATGTCAGACATTGCTGGAGTGACCCCCAGATCAGGGCATTGGTGGTTTCGTAGTTGTTGATAACTGACGTTGAGCCAATTCTGACTCTTGTGGTAGAAATCTCCAATTTTCCCTTCCATGCAAATTACTGGCCAACGCCCTTTATGCCCATACACCACCCATCTGTCAGTAGAGGCTTTCGTGTTGCTATGGTGCTGGACAGGTTTCATTGAAATTTCCAGAATAAGTTGCATTAGGAAGAAACACCTGTTGATCTTCTGAACGTCAGCTAATGAATACTCTACAGGTCACAATGGTCTGATCTGCAACTGGTCATGGGCCAAAACAGCAAACTGTGAACTCATGGCCTCTAACTACACAGTCCTGGTCCAACATGGTTAGTTCTCTCCTTTCCTTAAGAGTTATTTTAAACTTCACAAACACTACTATCTTCAGTCAAGTGTTCCATACATATAAAAACTATCTGTGGAGTTTTGCATTGAGGCAGTAAAGTAACAAGGCTAAGTTCCATGTCTGGAATGGTGAGATGGAGAACAACAGAAGGTTTGGAATGGCAAGATGCACAAGCAAAACCAATTCAGCTTTGAGTCTGTGGTACTCATAAGATCCTAAGTCCTCTGATATTTTACAGAAGGCTCTGCAAAGGCATTGTACTTTCCCAGACATGACATGGACATTTGATCTATCTTACCTAGTTGCAAGGGTGAAGACCACACTACCTTAAATCTGGGAAGTACGCAGATCTAATCACATCTTTCTTTTGTTTAAAAACTTTTAATCCATCCTAATACACAGGGAGTGAAGTTCAAATATATAAAGGTTAGCATGTAATCATATGATTTTACCCCAAGGATGCCTGAATTCTCCCTTGGCTCTGCTGTATCTAAGTGTCCTGAAGGAGGAGACAGAAAAGGATCAATGACATTGTGAAATCTAAGCATGTATGTCTGGTAATCTTAGGCAGAACCTCTTCCTTTTCTTCTCACCCATGTCCAGAGACATCAGGAAAAGAAGTCTGTGGTGCACAGATTAGGGGTAAAAACAAGAGCAAGATGACCCAGCTAGTCCCAAGGGGCCAACCCCTAGGTCAACTTACTATAGGGAGGCAAGTAAAAGAACAGAACAGTGAATATGATGACCAGGTCTCCTGGGGGATGGATGGGAGTGGAGACTTTTGGTCCAGTTTAAACCTTAAAGCATTGCTATTGTTGTTGTTAAATGCCATGGAGTCCATTTTGACTCATAGCGGCCCTTTATAGGGTTTCCAAGGAGCAGCAGGTGAGTTTGAACCAAAAGTCCTTCGGTTAAAACCGACCCTGTGGTCCAGTGCTTTATTTTACAGTGCCACAACAGGACTCTTCCTTAAAGCATAGCACAGAGCATAAGTCATGACCATGAGTGGGATTTTAAACACGTTGTAACTCTGTCTGGGAGTAAACAGGGCCTAACCAGTGTCCCGACATGATTCAATTAGATGAGAATTCCCTTCTATTGACAAAGAACTAGAAAAGAGGTAAGAAGGGGATGTAGCCTCCTTTGTTTTATGCTTAATGTGACAGTCAAGCTCCTTCAATAATTTGGTCCCAAATCTGTTTTCTGTTTAATTTCTCACCTGTCAAGCAGCCAAGAACTTACCACTATGACTAAAAAAGCTGTATTTTCCACATTTCCTTTGCTCACCCACATCTTTTCTTACTGGAATTCTCATCCCTTCTTATCCACCTGGTGAACTTCTTTAAATCCAAATCAGAAATCAGTTCCTCTTTTAAGCTTTCTTTGACTTCCAGAGGCAGAAATAGCCTGTTTTATTTTGTCTTGTTGGGCTTCCTATGATCCTGTGGTAACCATGTTTGTTAGTCATCTTTGTGTTTCTGTCACTTAGCAGAGTGCCTGGCATTGAATAGATATTAAACAGTAGTAAGGTTGGCCCAGGATCGGGCAGTGTTTCGTTCTGCTGTGCATAGGGTTGCTATGAGTCGTTACCGACTTGATGGCACCTAACAACAACAACAACAAGCTCATTGTTGGAGTCCTGGTGTGGCACTACAAGATAATGCACTGGACCGTAAGGTCAGTTGGAACCTCAAGGTTGGTGGTTCAAACCCACCAGCCACTCCTTGGAAACTCTACACAGGGTTGCTATGTGTCTGAACAGACTTGAAGCACTAACAAGTTCATTGTTAACTTAATGAGTGAATAAGAACTAAAGGGATCCATAACAGGTTCCACCTTGCCAATATGTGTCCATTTGTATATTTTCTGGCTTAAGGAAGTGAGCCTTCTGAGTTCTGCCCTAGTAGAAAAACTCCTGTCTTAGTTGTTGTTAAGTGCCATCGAGTCAGTTCCTACTCATAGGCTTTCCGAGGAGCAGCTGGCGAGCTTGAACTGCCAACCTTGTAGTTCAAATGGCTTTACAGTCTGGTGCATTAACCCACAGCACCACACCAGGACTGTTGTTGTTGTTGTTAGGTGCCATCGAGTTGGTACTGACCCATAGCGACCTTATGCACAGCAGAATGAAATACTGCCCGATCCTGGGCCAACCTCACTACTGTTGTAAAGCTTGAGTCCATCAATGTTGCCACTTGGCTAATCCATCTCGTTGAGGGTCTTCCTCTTTTTTTCTGACCCTCCACCTTAACAAACAGGATATCCTTTTTCAGCGAATGGTCCCTCCTGACAATATGTCTGAAGTATGAGAGATGAAGTTTGGCCATCCTGGCCTCCAAGGAGCACTCTGGCTGCACTTCTTCCAAAACGGATCTATTGGTTCTTTTGGCAGCCCATGGCACTTTCAATATTCTCCTCCAACACCATAACTCAAATGCATCAATTCTTCTACGGTCTTCCTTATTCACTGTCCAGCTTTCGCATGCATATGAGGTTATTGAAAATACCATGGCTTTGGTCAGGCGCACCTTAGTCCTCAAGCTGACATCTTTGCTCTTCAACACTTTAAAAAGGTCTTGTGCAGCAGATTTGCCTAATGCAACACATTGTTTGATTTCTTGACTGCTGCTTCCATGAGTGTTGATAGTTGATCCAAGAAAAATGAAATCCTTGACAAATTCAATCTTTTCTCCTTTGATAAGAATGTTGTTTATTGGTCCAGTGGTGAGGATTTTTGTTTTCTTTACATTGAGATGTAATCCATACTGAAGGCTGTGCTCTTTGACTTTCATCAGTAAATGTTTTAAGTCCTCTTCACTTTCAGCAAGCAAGGTTGTATCATCTGCATATTGCTGGCTGTTAATGAGTCTTCCTCCAATCCTGATGCCACATTTTTCTTCATATAACCTAGCTTCTTGGATTATTTGCTCAGCATGCAGGTTGAATAAGTATGGTGAAATAATACAACCTTGTCACACACTTTTTTAAATTTTAAACCATTCAGTGTTCCTATGTTCTGTTTGAACAACTGCTTCTTGGTCCAGGTACAGATTCTTCATAAGCACAATTAAGTATTCCAGAATACTCAGACTTCACAATGTTGCCCATAGCTTGTCATGATCCACACAATCGAAAGTCAATAAAGCAGGTAAACATCTTTCTGATATTCTCTGCTTGCAGCCAAGATCCATCAGACATCAACAATGATATCCCTCATTCCACGGCCTCTTCTGAATCCAGCTTGAACCTCTGAAAGTTCTCTGCAAATGTATGATTATAGCCATTTCTGTATTACCTTTAGCAAAACTTTACTCGCATGGGATATCAAAGAGATTGATGATTTCCGCATTCTGTTGGGTCACCTCTCTTTGGAATGGGCACAAATATG